CCTTTAAATGTGATGAGACTTCCCAGGACTGTCTGATGAGGAAGCACGCACCCCCACACCCACACCCACACCCGCACCCACACCCACACACACACACACACACACATTGGAGGGAGCCAGCCTGGGGTTGAAAAGCTGTAGGGAAATGGCTTAGGGGACACCTGCAAATAACTGAGAGAGGATTGTTGTCCTCAGTCACAGCTGCATCTGACAAGACCCAACCCAGGTTGGAGCTCAAAGCCTCTGTTCCTGCCTACTATTTCTTCTCATTCCCTCTCCCCATCACAGAGAACTGGGGGCTGACTCCTACCCAGCCTCCATCCTGACTTCTGCTCCTCCCTCTCCTCCACTCCCTAATCCTCAGATCCCTGCTGTAAACCTAGCCACATCTGAGCACTGGATTTGGAGTCAAAGGACACGAGTCTAGATTCCAACAGTATGACCTTGGACAAGTCCCTTCATCTGAGATGGGATTTCCTGAGAATGAGAGAGTTGGATGAGCTGAGCTCTGAGGACTCTTCTACTTCTAGATCTGTGATGCCTGCCCTCTTTCCTTCTCTCCCCAGGGTGAGGGTCAGGGGAGCTTGAACACAATGAAGGCAGTGACTGTCCCTGGGGGCAGTGTACTTGCTTTCCAAGTTGCCAAGTTGATTATCCGGGACTACTGGTGTAAGTTGAATCAGAAGGACCTGGATGGGGTGGGGGTTAGAATGGGTAGAATGGAAATTCCCCATAAACCACCTTCCTCCTACCAAGGGCTGAGGGAGGTGGGGAAGGGGAGAGGGCATTACTGTAGTACATGTCCTGGTGTTTGGGGAACTCAGCTGCCCAACTGTTTAGGCAGATGACATACGCAGAGACCACGTCCCTCTCTACCCCACACATATGGTCTTTTTTTCCCCAATAGGAAAGTTCACTTTTATTTATTTTTTTAATTGTATTTTATTTTTCCCCAATTACACATCAAGAAAATATTTAGCATTCATTTTTATGAGATTTTGAGTTCCAAATTTTTCTCCCACCCTCCCTTGCCTCCCCTCTTCCTGAAATGGTAGGCAATTTTATATAGGTCATACATGTACTATCATGTAAAACATATTTCCATAGTAGTCACAGTTGTGAAAGAAGAAAAGATCAAATGGAAAAAGAGCCACAAAGAAGAACAAAGTAAGTGAAAAAAGTACACTTCTATCTGCATTCAGAGTGCAGAGTGCATCCTAATTTTTAATTAGGATGTGGATAGCATTTTCCTTTCTGAGTCCTTTGTACTTGTCTTAGAAACAACATATTGTAGGATTCTGGTTTTTGATCCACTCTGCTATCTGCTTCCATTTTATAAGAGAGTTCATCCCATTCACAATTATAATTACTAACAGTGTATTTCCCTTCATCCTATTTTTCCTCCTATTTGTTCTCTCTCTACTTTGACTCTTTTCTTCCCTGATAGTGTTTTGATTCTGTCTACCACCTCCTCCCCCCCACCCCCATTTGCCCTTTCTTCTGCAAGTCCCACCACCACCATCTTTATTTAATCTCCTTCCCTCTTACTTTCAAGTTAGGCAAGATAGATTTCTATATTCCACTGCTTGTGGCTCTTTGAGCCAGTACTGATGAGAGTAAGATTTAAATGATGCCCATCACCCACCCTCCCATCTTCCCTTCCACTGTAATAAGTTTTCCCTGTCTCTTCATGTGAAATAATTTACCCAGTTCTACCTCTCCCTTCCTTCTGTACCCAGTATACTCCTCTTTCTCATCCCTTAGTTATTTTTTTATTTCATTCCCTCAAATTCACCCTATACCTTCTGTCTATGTATATTCCTTTGATGTGTTCTATTACTGGTACAATTTCTAAGAATTACAAGTATCATCTTCTCGTGCAGGGATGTAAACAGTTCAGTTCCACTGAATCCTTTGTTTTCCTTTCCCTTCTTAACTTTCTCTTGCATCTTGACATTGGAGATAAATTTTTGGTTTAATTCTGGTCTTCTCCTTATGAAAGCTTGAAATCCTTCTATTTCATTGAATGATCATTTTTTCCCTCGAAGTATTATACTTAATTTCACCAGGTAGGTGTTTCTTGGTTGTAGTCCTAGCTCTTTTGCCTTCTGGAATATCATGTTCCATGACCTCTGATTCTTTGTTGTTGTAGCTGCTAAGTCCTGTGTGATCTTGATTGTGGCTCACCAATATTTGAATTGTTTCTTTCTGGCCACTTGCAGAATTTTTCCTTGACCTGATAGTCTTCTAATTTGGCTATAATGTTCCTTGGAGTTTGTATTTTGGGATCTCTCTCTTGAGGTGATTAGTGAATTCTCTCAATGCCCATTTTGCTCTCTGGTTCTGGGATATCAGGGCAGTTTTCCTTGATAATTCCTTGAGAGATGCTGTCCAGGTGCTCCTTTTGGTTATAGATTCAGCTCTTCTCAGGAACACAATGATCCAAGACAAGTACAAAGGACTTATGAAGGAAAATGTTATCTACATCCAGATGAAAAACTGATGGACTCTGAATGCAGATCAAAACATATTTTTTTTTCACTTACTTTATTCTTTCTCATGGTTTTATTTCCTTTTCATCTGTTTCACTTTCCACATCTGTGATGAATATGGAAATACGTTTTACATGATAGCACATGTATGAATCATTTCAAACTGCCTACCATTTTCAGAAAAGGGGAGGGGATGGAGGAAGGGAGAAAAAAATTTGGAAATCAAAATGTTGTGAAAATGAATGCTACAAAATTTTGATTAATATGTAATTGGGGAAAATATAAATTACTATTTAAATTTTTAAAAAGGCTACACTGATTTATAGCCCCTCCAATAATGGAACCCTATGCCTTTGTTCCCATAGCTGCAACTGCATTGAATTTTATCATTTTTAATCATTTTTTTTCTTTATCTAGGTGTTCTTCTACTTCCCGACAAGAACCAGAAAACCTTCCCACTCAAAAGTGAGTGACAGGCTTGCTTGTCTTTCTAGCCCCTGGACCCAGTGAGCCCTTGACAGCCCATCCAGGGGGACCACTGTCCACATAGCTCCTCAAGGACACTTTTAGTTTCCTAGAATTGAGAAACTACCCTTTCTGGTTTTGATTCAGCCGAGGATTCTGCTTAGGTGGGCCCCAGAGAGAACTAAGTACCCTTTCCCTCTATGTAGGATGGAGGAGATAGAACTTAGGAGATAATAAGAACCAGGAAGGAAATGGAGTGGCTAGAGAGCTGGCATCCAAATCCAGAAGAACTGGGTTCAAGTCTAGCCTCAGACATGTACTAGTTGTGTGATCCTGGACAAAACACTTCATTTCACAGTGCCCAGGCAAATCTCTGGTACAGGGAGTTTCTTCATTGGCCATTGTCAATATCAGGGTGTCCCAAAAGTCTTTTTGTTGTTCTGTCGTTTCAGTCATGGCCAAATCTTAGTGACCCCATCTGGGATTTTCTCAGCAAAGATACTAGACTTGTTTGCTATTTCCTTTTCCAGCTGATTTTTACAGAAGAAGAAACTGGGTAAACTGGGTTAAAAGAGCTGCCCTCAAAAGTCTTTGTGCAATTTAAAGTTTAATAGCTTTTGAGACATTCTCCATATGTGTCTAGATGTGTTTATAAATGTATATTTTCACATGTGTATATATACATGTCAATATACATCTACACATATGTATATAAGATATGCATTGTGTAGATGTATATGGGCTGCTAGATAGAATGCTGGATCTGTAGTCAGGAGGACTTGAGTTCAAATCCATTGTCATTTACTAGCTGTGTGACCCTGGGTAAGTCACTCAACCCTGCTTGCCTCAGTTTCCTCATCTGTGAAATGAGCAGGAGAAGGAAATGGCAAACCATTCCAGTAAACCCCAAATAGGGTTACAAAGAGTCAGACAAAACTGAAAACACAACTCAACAAAATAATGTATACACACACACACGCATTACATTAAAGTTTGCAAAACACTGTGTGTACATTATCTAATTGGAACCTCCCAATTGCCCTGTGTGATAGGGAGTCCAAGTGTTGTTAATGACCATAGGTGGGCTCCCTGTCTCTCTGTCCAGCATTCCATTCACTCTGCCCCCCTGATGGTGATAGAAAGATGAAAGCCTTAGAGAAATATTGGGTCCTACCCGTTTGTCAGGTTGTTCTCTGGTACTTTTCCTCCATCTGTCTAAACAAGATGTCAACCATAACTTACATGTTTTATATTACTTTATATTTGTCTAATAGAAAATCTCATAATGCACTTAAATCCTCCCAGGTTCCTCCTCACACAGATGAAGAAGCTCCACTCTTGACTTATGGCCAGCAGACACCTTGGTTCAAATCCCTGTATATATACTAGCTGTAGTTATGACCACATTTCTGAGAGACCCAGTCTTCTCATCTGTAGAATGGGCATCATGGCACCTGTAGCCCAGACCTCTCAGGGCTCCTGTGAGGATCAAGTGAGATAATCTATGAGAAGTGCTTTGCAAACTTTAAGCCCTCGCTAGCTATAAGTCCGCTGCTATTGTTAGGTCTAGCACTGGCCCAACCAATCACCTGACAGACTGGATGGTAGGAACCATAGGGATGGGAAGACAAGCTGAGTCAGGGACACGTGCAGGGTGGATTTGATTCTTTGATTTGAAGCTGGGCAGTGTTGTTCTGTGCTGTGATTCCTGATGAATCCTGGGGATGGATGGCCTCTGAAGACTGAAACAGATATTTTCTTTTTTCAGGAACAGAATCTGCAATGTACCAGTCAGGTTTGTGGCTTTTTTGTTCTATGTTCCCACCTCTTCTACCTCTCCCAACTGAAACACAGAGATAAAACCCACCTGAACTATTCAGAGGCAGGGTCCACAGGCCAGGGAGTGTCCAAGAGGGAATGACGGGGCCAAGGCCACACTGCTTATAGCTCTCTCACAGCAGCACCAGTGAGGTGGGTCCTGGCCCCTTCCTAGGGACTGTGTTTATGTAAGGGGTGGAGGCAGAGCCCCCAAAGGCTGGGGGTGACCTTGGCATGGGTACCCAGCCTCAGGTTTCAAGGGAACTTGCCTCAGTGGAGCCCCAGACTCTGTGAAGGTCAGTGTTTCTCTCACTCTACATGTTCTACATGTCAAATGAGATAATATTGTTAAGCACTTCCAAAGTGCCATATAAGTGAAATGTGGCTACAGATGTACTGAAATATCAAAGAAATCATTGATGCCTGTATCCAAATCATTGATAAAGATGCTAAACAAAAAGTTCTTTCTTTGGGAAGTGCTGGGTGACTCTTCAACCATTACTCCTTTTTCTAGAGGAAGGAAGGAAGAGCACATCATTTAACTTACCTGTGGTTGAGACTGGGAATAGAGCAGGTGCTTAGCCTTCCTTATTGTGATGGAGTGAGATCCCAGACCTCTCCCTGGGTCCCCATAAACAGAATAAAATTCTTGAGGCCAGGGAATATGGACGTCCACCTGGATTGAAGAGGGTGCAAAGCAGGGACCCCCTCCAGCACCCTGCTGAGGCTAAAGACTTCCCAGGCAGGTACCAGGGATGAAGGTCCTGAGAGTTGGGGTGTGATCCCAGCCTTACTTGTCTTGTTTTTTCTAGATTCCTCCAGAGGAACGACAGTCAGCACAGTCTTAGACTTTGAGCAACTTCAGGCTGAGGTGGAGAATGAACAAAGCCAGCTGACCATGCTGGACAGGAAGTTACAACAGTTTCTGCTTCAGGCTCTCCTGGGGCTCCTCCAGAGTGAGCAGGATCTGCTGGAATTAGAAGACATGGTGAGAGTCTAGAAGTCAGGGCAACAGAGAATTACAGGAGTGGGGGCTGGGTGGTAGGGTAGGAGAAGACAGAAGGGAAGAGTAGGGTAGGGTAGGGACAACACTGGATTTTGAGTTAGAGTACCTGGGTTCTTATCAGAGTATTCTTTTTAACAGCTTGTGTCATCTGGGGGAAGTCAGCACAGCTCTCTGGGCCTCAGTTTCCTCACCTGTAAAATGAGAGACCTGGACTAGATGAATGCCAAGGACCCTTCCAAATCTAGATCCTATGATCCTACAATTTGAGGGAATCCCTGAGAAGCGCAGGAGTTGGAGGAGGGAGCGTGTTCTTGAGAAGGATGGCTGAGGTGCAGGGACCTGGGAGCAGGTGCATCAGTAGTTAGTGATTGCTGCACTGTTTCAGGTAGTTGGGCAGTGAACTGAGTCAAGATCCAATTAATGAAATAAGTCAACCTGTAATTATGTGGGGGGAAAGAACTGAGTACTGTCTGAGTAGAGCAGCTTGTGCCTACAGAAACTTTGTGAAACCTATTCACCAAGTAGGGTTTTTAAAAAAAATACTAATAATCATTTTTATTCTTAATCATTACATTTCATTATTAAAATGTACAGGGCAGCTAGGTGGTACAGCGGATAGAGTGCCCAGCCTAGAGTCAGGAAGACATCTTCCTGAATTCTAATCTGGCCTCACACATTTACCAGCTGTGTAACCCTGGGCAAATCTCTTAACCATATTTGCCTCAGTTTCCTCATCTTTAAAATGAGCTTGAGAGAAATATGGCTAACTACTTTGCCAAGAAAACCCCAAATGGGGTCACAAAGTCAGACAGGACTAAAATGACTAAACAACAATTAAAATGTATAGTTGACACACAAATAATAAAATAAGAGTTTTTACATATATATAAAAATATTTTCAGGAATACAATCCTTGCCATTTGTAAAAAATACAAATAAAAACAAAAAAATCCTCTAAAACCTAGTAAGTGTTGAAGTTGAAGGGGGAGAGAGAAACATGGAAAAAACAAAGTATTCCCATTTTATTTTTCCCAAATCTGTAACACATCACATGAATTGTGGTTTTCAGTATAGCTTGGAAGGTCCCAAAACTAAGAATTTTCTTCTGGTTTGAAATAATTCGACTAAAGACTGTATTGGTGAACCATAAATACGCTAAGTTTCTAAGACGCTGTTCTGGAAAATAGTCAGCTTCAACCATATAGGACTTCTGTCTTCTGAGAGGTTTCTAGCTCTGCTCCTGTGATAATATGCTCAGCTTCTTTCCCTAAGTGTTGGTCTCTCTTGGTCACAAGGCAAAAGTACATTGTCAGACCTCATAGAACTCTCTGGATCTTGCAGATAATAACAGCACCTACCTCACAGGGATATTTTGAGGTTCAAATCTAATCATTTTAGGAAGCTCTCTGAGCCCTGTATATATGTCAGCTATTATTCCTTTTACTTTTGGTCCTGCGATATCATCAATCATCAATAGAAGGACATTTTGGGAGGGGACCTCCCTAGTCCAATGCAAACCAACTCATCAACTTAGAGTCTTAGAACACTGCATGAGATACTGAGAGGGTACGTGATTTACCCAGAGTCACACAGCCAGAACTATCCATCTTGACTTAGACCCAGGTCATCCTGCTGAGGCTGGCTGTCCAGCTACTGTACTTTGTAGCCTCTCATTATTGTTGTTGGTGGTGGTATCAGTTATTATTGTTACTATTATGATTTCTTGGTAGTAATAATAATAATGAAAGAGATGATAATACTTGAACTACCAGCCTCACAAGACTGTTGCCAGTAAAGTATTAGGTAAACCCTGGGAACTATTGTTCCTGTGCTTTTCTTTTCACAAAATCCTCATCTATAGATATTTGGGACAAGTTCGATTTCATTCTAATGTAATACCCACTCTGAGTGATCTCACCAGAGAGTAGCTGCCCCCCTCAGGTCTAGGGGTTACCCTGTGAGTCTACACTCCTTAAATTATCAGCCATCCTACCTCCCGTCTAGCTGAGCCTCAAAAGTCAGCCAGTAGCCACAATTAGCTCAAAGCAAAGGAATTAAGATAACATAATAAAAACAGGAGCTACAGAATATTCCCTCCCCCACAAACCCATGGCACGCTTTCCCACAACTCTGCGTGGTGTCTGTAGGAGGAGTGGGTGAGCATTGCGGGTACAATAAAAGGAAGGCACACATGTAGGAAACACATGTCGCCATTTATAAGAATAACAAATCCCATTTATAGAGCACTTTAAGATTTGCAGAGCATTTTACAAATATTTTGATCTCTCTTGATCCTCACAACATCCATGGGAGGTGGGTACTATTACACTCTCCATTTTACAGATGGGAAAACTTAAACAGAGATTAGTGATTTGCCCAGGGTCACACAGCTAATCTGTATCTGAGGCTGGATTTGAATTTAGGTCTTTCTGACTCATTCTATTCCCAGGAAGGATCTACATCCTTTTTCCTGGCTCTGATTTCTTCAGGTTAACACAGTGCTTCCTGTCATTCTTCTTTCGTCTTTTTCTTAGAGGGGGACCTTTGGATATCTGAATTATCTGTGTCTGAGCCCTTTAATGCTATCCTTTGTCTTAAGCTTACTTACATCTAATTCAATTAAGCAAATATTTATTGAGCAACTGCTGTGTGCAGAGTACTGCACTCAGTGGTAGAAGAGGTACAAAAATTAAATAAGAATTAATTAATTAATAATTAAATAAGAAAAGCTCCTCATACAGGTTACCGTACATACTATATAGTGACATACAGATACCATGACTGACAAAACTTGAATAGTTTAAGAAAAAGGATCCATGAGAAGAGCCATACATGGATTCTCTCTACTGACAGAATACAGAACCTTCACCCCCCCCCCCCAGTAAACAGTTTCACAAGTTGTTAGGACCCCCAAAATTCTTCAAGTGTTTCCAAACTGATTATGATGCTCTCTGAACTGGGTTAGGCTTGTCCTTTGGCAAATGGTACCAGTTGGCCACCAGACCTGTACTCCAAGCTTTACCAACCTGGGAGGGACAACCAGACCTGATTGTCTGCTAGCTAAGCCTCAGAAGCCCTTCTCAATAACCCAGCAAGGTGGCACAGTAGATAGAGAGATGGACTTGTAGTCAGAAAGACCTGAGTTCAGATCTTGCCTCAGATACTCCCATGTGATCTTCCTCAGCCTCAGTCTCCTCATCCATAAAATGGACATAATAATAGCAGCACTTATCTCACAGGCTTATTGAGAAGAAAAACGAGATAATACTTGTAAAGCACTTTGCAAAACTTGAAGTGTCAGCTATTATCATCATTATTATTACAATGAGACCTCAGAGGATATCAGTGGAGAATACATGACTAATAGTACTGTGAAGGGAATTATGATTTTCCTAATAATTGATATGATATGTGTAATGAATATACTAATATCCACAGACCCAAATTGCAAATTTGATTTCTTCTTCTTTGTTTCTACTACTTTCCTCTTTTATTTACAATTCCTCCTCCTTCAACAGCACAACAGAGATTTGTGGTAAGACTAGATATGGGCTTCTTTCTACCTCACCTCTGTAAGATTCCCTGGTTTTCCTGTCCCTTCTGGGAGATGATGGAGAACCTGTAGGTTCATTTAATCGGCCTTTGTTTTAAAGCGGATGGATACAGATCCCTTAATCAGGGTCTCCTGTGGACTCAGGAGGAGAGATGGAGATAGAACCATCTCCCTACGTTTCCCAAACACTCTTCTAGTCCAGCTGTTCTGTCCTTCTTAGGGAGCCATCCAAACCCTGTGGATCCTCATTCAGTGACTGGAGCCTCCACATTCTTCTACTTCCAATGCCAACTCCACAATAACTAGACTGGGCCTATTAATGTCCCATCATTGGTCAGTCCTGTCATTGTGTTCAGGGACACAAAAAGGGATATGTCAAAATGACTCCATTGGCTCTTGGCAGAATCTATCCTTATGAAGCCTGACATCTGCCAAAGAGATGTTCGATTGCTTAGCAGTATACAAAAACAACTGTTTGACTCACTTTTTTTCCTGGTGAAATGCCTTCCTTTTCTATTGAGTTATCTTGATTTCCAGTTCAAATTTCCATCCACAGTTCACTCTTCCATGCATAGGATCTAGAAACTTATTACTTCATTTGATAGGATGGTGCAGTGGAGAGTGCTGGACAAGGAATCCAAGGACCTGAGTTAAGCCCTAGCTCTTCCACTAGGTCATTGTGTGCCATCTTTTCTTCTCTGGGCCTCAGTTTCCTTCTTTGTAAAAAGAACTAATTGGACTGGATGATCTCTTTGTTCCTTACCAATTTTAATGATTTATGTTTAATCTTTGTCATAAGACGTTCTCATAACATGAAGGATCCAGTACTTGTTGAGGTATTTTGTCACTCTCTTGACTTATAGGTCTAGCCCTGGAACTATGTGCATGGTAACTCCCAAAGATGGTGAGCCTGACATAACCCATTGAAATCAGGCAATTCACATTATCAAATAAAATTTTATTTAAAAAGGGATAAACAAATTCTTGTGCAACACTCTTTGTGTATTCCTTCCCCAACTTGTACTCAAATATATTTGAGAGTTGCCTGGGTCCCCTTGGGTGGCTGCTACCTCAGGTTCTAGGGTTAAACTTGTGGGAATAAACTACTAACTCTGTAGCTCACAAGCCCCTACTGGTATGCTTCCCACTTACGATCCGCCAGTAGGCTCAATCATATAGCAGAGGTATTTACTCAAATACTCAAAGTAACCTGCAGGGGCATAGCAAGAACAGTAGGTACAAAACATTCTCCAACTAAACCTGAGGTACAATCTCTGACAAATACACAAAGTATCCATGACAAGAGAGGATTCAAACTTAGTGCATAATGGCAGTAAATCATGTGTAGAATGCACAAAACTCCAGGTACCGTAGGGCCTGTAAGACTTTCATCACTTCAGAGCATCTTCCCATAGACCCCCTGGGGTGTAGCATCTCTGTTGTGTGGCTTGCTAAGCTGAGTTCCTAGGGTCTGCTCTTCTCCATTATCTGACTGCTGCTAAGGGCCATGCTCCTTGAAGATGCTTCTTCCCTTGAGTGACTATCTCTCTATATCCATGTTGGTCTGAAGTGTTCTAGTAGTCCCTATTCAGTGCTGTATAACTTAGACAGGAGGAAAGTAAATACCTTTTTCACACTTGCAGGGGACTTCTCCAGAGGCAGCTCCATATTTACAAAAGTGCCCAACTCAAATGGCTAAGATCATCCAAAACTTAGCTACTAAAAACCTCAAAAACATACTTTGTTCCCATCCTGACAGTCAGAGATGTGTTTGAACATTAAAGGGACCAGAGTGTAAAGAGACGTCTTTTACGGTTAGTTGAACATCTCATTAGTGTGAGTGGTTATTCTGGACCTTCTGTGACAAAATCCATTGACCTGGAGGCAAGAGGAGGCATGAAAGCACATTTCCCTCCCCTCCAATTTTAGAGATGTGTGGAACTTCCCAGAGCCACAGTTTGGAATAGTTAGCCTCCTCTGAGGTCCCACACATCTTGTCTTGGTCCTGCTACTTGAGAGGCGATCTCTTTATCTCTCTCTGACTCTCTCACTTTGTGGTATAAGTCAGTTGACCAGGAGTCCTTTGTTCAGTCACTCTTACGGTGCCCTGGTGCCCCAATTTCATAGTTTTTCAGGCCAACCCAGGACAAGCTTCTAGAGTTTTTCAATCTTTGGATGCTTTCCTCTCTAGGATAAAAGGAAGGCAAAAAAGAAATCCTCAAGGTTTCTTGTCCCCTGGTTTATTCTACTGTCTAACTATAGGCTCATCCCTTTCTTTGCTCTCTTCAGTCTCCCACCAACCAGTTCTGCCTATCACCATGCATATTCCTTGGGCTCAATCTCTTTATTTTCCTGAGGGATTCCAACAGGGAAAGGGAAGAGTAAGGGGAAATATCTCCTGGCTATATACTTCATTTGATAGGATGGTGCAGTGGAGAGTGCCGGACAAGGAATCCAAGGACCTCAGGTTAAGCCCTAGCTCTTCCACCAGGGTCATTGTGTGCCATCTTTTCTTCTCTGGGCCTTAGTTTCCTTCTTTGTAAAATGAACTAATTGAACTGGCTACATATGAATCCATGAGTCTCCTCCTCCCACTTTTCACTTAATAAGTGAACCCTTCCAGGGTTTGCCCCAGGGCTCAGGATCTCTCCCATATGTACTGATCCCAGGTTTCCCCAGGCAGGACAAGCCTGGATACTAGCCCAAGGGGCTGGTTTGGGCAGGAAGCTGCCACTCTCACCATTCACCTTCCTTCTCATCTCTCTTCTACAGCTAGAACAGAGTTTATACACTGGGGTACCCCCACAGAAGGTGAAGGGCATGACAGGCGATATCCTAAGTAACCTACAAGACAGGAATGGACAACTTGTGGAGGAACTAGCAGGGGCATTCCTCTATCTCCTTGGGGCTCGGAAGGGAAAGAAAGATGATGGGACCAGGGGGGGGGGGGGGGGGGGCGGAGTAGACCAGGGACAGTAACACTCAGAAAACAACACCCTTTCATCTCTTATATGAGGTGCTTGGGATTTTAGATTAAGCTTTTCTTTTGAAAACAACAACAAAAAACCCCTCAAATCCTCTGTGCATTTTTATCCTTACATTGTCCCTATAAGCTGGAAAGGAGACAGGTAATCACCTCCCTCTTTCATTGATGGAGAAACAAATGCCCAGAGGGGAAGTGGCTTGCCCAAAGCCATACATACATACTGCATTGGCAGAGCCCATTCCTGTGATCCCTAGTCAGCCATCTCACCTTCATATGGCACTGACTCCTCTTTGAAAATCCATCAATGAGAAGAAAGTTGCTCTCTCTTCTCAAATCCTTCCTTCCCATACTCCCCAAGAACAGAAAACATTAGGACCCCATCCTGATTGGGGATGTGCTACAGTATTCCTCAGTAGTTCTCAGCTCTTTCTCATTGATCCTACGTAGTTCCTCATCAGCTCCCATGTATTTAATTCACACTTGTATGAAGATAACTGTTAGATCTGCATATCTAGTCATTGTCTCAGCCCTGAGCTCCAGTCCCCCATCACCAACTGCTTATTGTACATCATGACCTGGATAACCCATAGATACCTCAAACTCAATACGTCAAAATCTGAACTCCTCTTTCCCCACAAAACCCACTCCCTCTTCCTAATTTCCCTATTTCTCAAGGGCACCACGATATTTCTAGTCATCTAGGTTTGCAACCTTGGTGTCCCCTGAGTCTTCTCTCTCCTTTTTCCCCCATATTAAACATGGTCTGACCGTGTCATTTCCTCTTGATATCTCTGATGTCTCACTTTTCCAATCCATCCTACACATGGCTTCCAAATGTTTTTACTAAAGTAAAGGTCTGACTGTGTCAGTCACTACTCAGTAAATTCCACTGACTTCCTATAACTTCTATGATCAAATATTTGTTGTGTTTGACATTCAAAACTCTTCACTGTCTGGCTCCAACTTATCTTTCAAGCATTATTACACATTATTCCCCTTTATACACTCTACAATCCAGCCAAACTAGCCTTCTTACTGTTCTTCATACATGTAACTCCATCTCTCATCTCTCTGTTTTTATGTTGGCTGTTCTGCATGCTTGGAAGTCATCCCCTTCACACCTTCACTTCTTAGAATCCTTAATGTTCCCAAAGACCAAGTTGAAGGACCATCTTCTATATAAAGCCATTCTTGATCCTCACAGTTGGTAGAGCCTTCCCCAAAAACATTACCATGTTTCCCCATCCCAGTCCTTTCTATTCCTTATAGCTTGTATGTACCAATAGATGTGCATATTGTCTTCCCACTCTCCACCAACCCCATTAGGATGTGAACTCCTTTAGGGCAGGTATTTTTTTGCTTTTGTCATTGTATTCCTAGTACCCAGCAGAGTTCCTGGCATAGTCATTGATTGATGCATATTTATTGATTGATACCCTTGGTTCTTTATTAGCACTGTCTCTTCAATGCCTGATTTGAGCTATTCTATAGGATTTCACACAACTAGACTGAAGGGGTCCACTACAAATTTATATTATTTAATCTCAAATGGGAGGCAGCTAGGTGACTTTGTGGACAGAGTGCTGGGCCTGGAGTCAAGAAGACCTGAATTCAAATGCAGCCTCACATACTCATTAGCTAGGTGATCACGGACAAATCACTTAGCCTCTGTTTGTCTTAATCCACTGGAGAAGAAAATGGCAAACCACTCCAATATCTTTGCCAAGAAAACCCCATATAATGTCGTGAAAAGTTGGATGTGACTAAATGACTAAACAATAATAATCCCAAATGAGGCCCTCACTGCTGCAAGGCAATCCTTTTACTGTTCCATAGCTGGCTCTTGCATTTACCACAGTGGCTATTCCAATCCATCTCTCTTCCAGCCTTCCACACTATTGCCTATCCCCCTTCCTCTCCATGAAGGACCTTTCCTTGTTTCCTTATGCTTCACTACAAAATTAGGGGCAATTTTTCATTTTTCTCTTCTCCTGTCTTCTACATCTCAAGACCACTTCACATCATTCACCATTTTTTCTCGCTATTCTCCATTCTCTGATAAAGATCAAGCCCTTCTCAGCAGGGCCAACCCTTATGCTTGTGGATGATGTCCATTCCTGTCTCCTGGCAGAATGGACCCATGATCATCCCCTCTCTCCTTCTAATTTTCAGTCTCTCTTTATCTAGATTCCTTCCCTTCTGCCTATGAGCACACTCAGATCTCCCCCATTTCTTGAAATCTCCACCATCCTAATCCAGCTGTAAGCCTGTATCTCTCTCCTGTCATAGTCAAACAGCTTGAAACAGCTGTCACCATACATTGCCTTCACTTTCTCATTCCCTTGCACTTTGGCTTCTACCCTCATTACTCACCTGAAATGGTTCTGTCCAAAGTTACCAATGATCTCTTAATTGCCTAATCCAATGATGTTTTCTCAGATCTCATCCTAAACCTCTACAGCATTTGACAATATTGACCACCATCTTCTCCTACATATATTATCCTCTCTGAGTTTTCATGAAATTGCTATGTCTTGTTTCTTCCCCTGCCCATCTAGCCACTCTTCAGTCTCTTTACTAGGTCATCATCATGTGCCAATGGACTTAATTAACCATGGACTACGCTACACCTCTGGCTTTGGCCCTCTTCTCTCTATATACCCTCACTTGGTGATCTCATTGCTTCCTTTTGGTTCAGCTCTTGCCAATGACTCCCATATCCCTATATCCAGTCCTAGTCTAGAGTTTCTTACTGGACAATCAAATAGTAGATAAATGCTTACTCCATACCAGGCACTGTGCTAAACCCTGAGGATGCAAAAAGAGGTAGAAGACAGTTCATGTACATTCTAGGAGAGGAATCTGGGAAGATGGAAGAATAGGTCAGAAAAATCCAACCTCTCCAGATTTCCCCCACAAACAAGACAAAATAGCACCTCACGGCAGACCTAGAGGGGTGGAAACAAACAAGAGTTTGGGCTGAACAGTCGTCCTCCTGGGACAGCTGGGAGAAGATCCAAAGAAAAATTCCATGTTGGAGGTTTTGTTCCTTTGAAGAGTAAACCCCTCTACACACACTCCACTGAAACAGCAAGCGGCAAGCTCTGGGTTTGGGAGGTAGCCTCAGCCTCAGCCGCAGGAACTGTCACTTCCTGGACAGTGTCAGGAATCCAAGTCTGAGACAGATATTTATCAACATGCCAGACTTTCAGGATTTTGTTTAAAAAAAAATTCTGAACTCAAGAGAAGATTTGACATAAAAGATCCAAGAGAAGTATAAGGTACATATCAAAAACTAATTACAAGGGACTCAGTGAGGGCAGACTTTTTACTTTTTATATGAGAAAATGTAAAATTTCTGTCTAAGATTGTTACTAATAATTAGGTAGTTCAAAAGAAAGATTGGGGTAGATCTGAGTATGATATGATTCTAAAAAGTAAAACCATTTAGGAAAAAGGTAAAAGGAGTAATTATCTTATACAAATGAGCTATGAGAGGAAGGACTGACACAGAAGAATTAGATAGGAGAGGAGGCCTGTTGGTTCTGGAACCCTCCTTTCATCAAGAATAGGGTCAAGAGGGAATAAAACATATATATTTAGAAGGGTATTAGAGTCTTCTAAGTTCAGAAAGAAATAAAAGCCCAAGGGGATAGGGAAGGGGGAGAGGGTAAGGGAGGGATTTTTAGAAGGGAGAATGAGTTAACAGGATAAGAGGGGGATATAGAAGGGTGTTTAGATTAATGGGAATGGGAAGATAAGGGTACTGGGAGGGGGGATATAGGTTAAGTAATAGGAGGGCAAGGTAGCAGATAGAAGTAAAGTAGAGGAGTTAGGAGAGATAGAAAATAAGAGACACACAAATATAAAATAAACATCAGGAGTAAAATTTATTAGGGAAAAAAAGTAGGGGTAGTAATCATGATCTCAGACAAAGTTAAAGCTAAAATAGATTTAATCAAAAGAGAAAAATAGGGAAACTACAATGTATTTCAGTTATATTAATCAATATAGTTTTAGACTATTTAAAATAACTAGACAGTATAAGGTTGGAATATTGCTGTGGCATAGGAAATGATGAATTGGTGGACTTAGAAAAATATTGGACTTATGAAGAAAGAGGTTATCCACCCTCAGGAAACAGAGGACAAATAAGTACAGTATAGTCTTATATAGATGCATATGAATGTATTTTACATGTAAGTATGATTATAGATATCAAAGTATATATATGTGTATATGTATGTATATCTATCTATCTATCTATATATCTTTGTATGCACCAGTATATATATATATATATGTATGTATATACATATGTGTGTATATATATATATATATGTATATATACACACATTTGTCCTTAACTGTAGCCTTTGGGGTGGGGGGAGAAGGGGGAAGAAAAGAACAAAATAAAAAGTGCACAGCAGAGAGCAAAAGAAAACTTATAAGGAAACAAAGGAAAAATGGACAGCTCTGAATGCAATGCATAGTATTTATTATATAGACTTTCTTTAAATGGAAATTTATTGTTATATAATTTGAATCCTCTCTTATGTTCTACTATGCACATGGCAATGCTTTTTTCTTTTCTTATTTTGTATTTGTTTTAATATTTAAGTTTAAAATATGTTTCTTTTTCTTTTCTTATTGTACCCTTATGTTTTATTATTTAAGTTTAAAATTTAAAAAAATTGGAAAAAGAAAGGAGCTCACAGTCTAATGGGGGAGACAACAAGCAAACAAATATGTATAAACAAGCTGTAATTAACAGAGAGAAAGCATTCGAATTAAGAGGGGTTTGGAAAGGTATCCTGTAGAAGATGGGTGTTTTAGTTTGTGCTTCAGAGGAGCCAGAGAAGGCAGTAGATGGAGATGAGGAAGGAGAACATTCCAAGCATGAGGGAAAGCCAGAGAAAATACCCAGAGCCAAAAGATAGAGTGTCTTATGGGAGGCAAAGAGGCCAGTGCCACTGGACCAAAGAGTATTAAGAGACAGAGAATAAGGTATGAGAAGACTGGAAAGGAAGGGGAAAAGATGGGTCATGAAGGCTTTAAATGCCAAAGAGAGGATTTTCTATTTGATCCTGGTGGTGATAGGGAGCCACTGGAGATTATTGAGCAGGAAGGTGAATGGTGGTCTGAATGGAGGTAACAGTTGAATGGAGGATGGATGGGAGTGGGGAGAGATTTGAGGCAGGCAGACCCGCCAGCAACTCTTGCAGGAGTCCAAGAGTGAGGCAATGAGGGTCTGTATGAGAGTGGTGGCAGCATCAGAGGAGACGACAGTAGATATTTGACAGGTATTATAAAGATGATATCATGTGGACATCAGAAATTCATGATAACCCAAACATAGAATTCGAGGTCTTTATCTCCAAACCCATCCCTCTTCCTAACTTTGTTATTTTTTTTCAGGAATACCACCATCCTTCTAGAATCCAGGTTCAGGGACAGCTAGGTGGTGCAGTGGATAGAGCACCGGCCCTGAATTCAGGAGGACCTGAGTTCAAATTCGTGTTATACACATAACACTTACTAGCTGTGTGACCCTGGGCAAGTCACTTAACCCCATTGCCTAGCCAAAAAAAAAAAAAAAAGAGGAAAAAGAAAAAAAAAAGGAAAAAAATAGAATCCAGGTTCAAAACCTGAAAATCATCCTCCATTCATCCCTCACCTACTGTATCTAAACAGTTCTCAAGTCTTGTTAATTCTTCCTCTCTGCTCTCTATTCCCTTCTCACTACTCCTACAGCCACCACCCTTGTTTAGGCCCTCATCACTATCACAATATCCTCTTAATTGATTTTCCTATATCAGGTCTCTCCCCTAATACATCCTTCCCATGAATGCCAAAGTAGTTTTCCTAAAAAGCAGGTCTAACCATGTCATTTCCCTGCAAAAGAAATTCTAGCAGCTCCACTCTCTTGGCATCATCATCATCATCATCATCATTATCATTATTTAGTGTTTATATAGCACCTAATATGTGCCAGACACTTTACAAATATTATCTCATTTGATCCTCACAACCACCCTGGGGGGTAGAGGCTATTACTATCCCCATTTTACAATTGAGGAAACTGAGTCAAAAACTGAGGCCGAAGGCCACATAGTTAGTAAGTGATTGAGGCTGGATTTGAACTCAGCTCTTCCTAACTCCAGGACTAGTGTTCTATGTACTGCACCACCTAGCTGCCCTTTAAACTCCTGCTTTAAGCATTTTAAAGCCCTTTGACCATTGCCTTCAGTGGACCTTTCCAGGCTCATTATACACTATTGCTCTGGTTCTCACACTACATTCTTGCTGTTTCTTGTATAAAGCATTTCTTCTCCTCTCTCCATGCTTCTGCAAAGCCTAGAAAGCACCTACCTCCTCAACTCCTTTTCTTAGAATCCTTAGCTCCCTGATTCCCCACAGCTGTTTGTCCACTTGCAAATGACTTTGTATTTACCTTCTTTGTCCTCTGCGTATGGACTTACCTGTGTGTGAGTACGTGCTATCAAGTATATACTTACACAATATAAGCTACTTGAGAGCAGAGACCATTCCCTTTTTGTTGTTCCAACAGCTAGCAGAGTCTAGCCCTTGGTAAGGCATTTAGGAAAGACGTGATTGACTGATTGATTGATTTGTCCCCAGCCCTGAGTGACATCCAACATCAACTCCTGATCCAGTTGCTACAGAAAAAGGAACAGATCCTGTCCCAGGAGGTAGAACTGGTAAGAAAAGCTGCTTCCTTCCCAGAAGTAAGCTAGGCAGCACAACTTCTCAGAAGCCTTGGAATGGGCAGTCTAGAGAATGAGTAAGAAATGGGGGAGAAGGAGCAATCTAGAATGGGATCGTTTCAGTTATGTGGATGACCTGCCCCTTTCTCTGCCCTGCTGCCCAGAACTCAATGGGATGAGTTCTGACCTCAGAGGGTTTCCTGCCTGTCATGCAGCTGCCTCAAGGGTCTGCTCTAGCACTTCTCTCAGGACCCTGGTTTCTCAGAAAACTAGAAAGTATCCTGTGCTCTTCCCCAGAGACCCTGGGTTCATTCTGATCCTGTTTCCCATAGGTGAAGGCAGTTCTGAAGGAGAACTTCAATCAGACCAAGAAGAGGACTTTCTCCCTTCCTTCAAAGCTGCTGTCCTTTGTCCAGGGCCAGGATGAAAATTTGACCCTCACATGTGGCCTGTTGGAAGAGTGTGGACTGTGGCTCTCAGGAGATGAACCCCAATTTACCTGGAACCCCAGTGCTCTGTACTCACTTTGTGCACTGCATGGGAGTCTGGTGATGCTGCAGGCTCTCACTGAGGCCTGATGACCTAGCCCCCACTCTCCCCACCCTTTTGATACCTCCTCCCCCTATGTCAGCCCCAGGCCCAGTGCATTAGGGGACAGCCCTATTTCACAACACAGGATCATGACATTTGTTTGTTGGGCCTTCCCCTGTGCTTCACTAAAAAGAAATCCCCACTGTGATGTACTAGACCAGTGGTCATTCAGCCTCTGCTTGAAGACCCCATTGCAGGGAAACCCACCACCTCTCTTTTTCTTTTTCTTCATCTTTTTTTTTAGGCATTTGGAGCTAAGTGACTCGCCTGGGGTCACACAGCTAGCAAGTGTCAAGTGTCTGGTCTGAGGCTGGATTTGAACTCAGGTCCTCCTGACTTCAAGGCCAGTACTCTATCAACTGTGCCACCTAGCTGCCCCTAACCCACCACCTCTCAAGGCAACTCATTCCCCTTTTGGACAGCTTTTATTATTAGGAAGTTTTTTCCTAACATCAATCCTTCATTTACCTGTTTGCAGCCTCTGTCCACTGCTTCTCATTCTGCCCTCTCAGGTCAACAGAATAAGTCCGTTCCCTGCTCCACAGCCCTTTAAATACTTGTACACAGCTAGCAGGTCACCCCTGTGCCGTTTCACATGCACAGCTCCTTCAACTGGTCACCATGTGACACGGACTCAAGGCCTTTTACCCTTGCGGTTGCTCTCCTCAGGATGTCGTCCAGTTTATCAGTGCTCTTAAACTGTAGTGCTCAGGCCAGGTGAAATGTGACCAGGGCCAAGGTAGAACTGTCACCTACCTCTTCCTAGAAGCCATACTTCTCTTGATGCAGCCCAAGGTGGACTTAGCTTTTGAATTGTCACATCACAGTGCTGACTCATTGAGCTTGCAGTGCATTAAAACCTCCAGATCAGTTTTTAGACATACTGCTGTGTAACCATGTCTTGATATCTCATTGGGTCATTAGCTTCCATATGGCCAACTCTAATTTTTACATTCTTTTCTTTAGTATGGTTCTGTACCAATTTTTCCAAGCTATTAACTCTCTTTTCATACCTTTCTTTCCCTAACTATTGCTTCTTTTCCCATTTTTCCTCTACTGCTCTCATTTGGTTTTTAAATTTATTTTTTAGCTCTTTAAAAAAAAACCTTTAGGAATTCGTGTCAGACTTGTGTTCAAATTACGTTTTTCTTTAAGGCTTTCTTGTAGATATTTTCAAGTCATTCTCTTCTGCCTTTGTGTACAACTTCCCTGTCTTCATAATAGTTCTTTATGGTGGCATTCTTTTTTTTAGTTTGCTCATTCCAATAGATTGGAAGCTCCTTGAGGGCAAGGCCTGTCTTTTTTTTGTATCCCCATTGCTTAGCATAGTGCCTGTCACATAATAGCTGCTTAATAAATGTTGATTATTTAATAAATGCTAGATGATTTGACTCCAAGATTAGCTTGTATCAGCTTTACATGGATAATAATATGTGCATCTTGTCTATCTTCCTAGAATGCAAACTGCAAGGGCAGGAATGGTTTCACTTTTATATTTGTATCCCAGTGCTTTGCATAGGGCCTGGAACATAGTAAGTACATAATAAAAGCTGTTGATTGACTGTTAACCTCCCTGGGCCTCAATTTCCTCGTCTATAAAATGAACTAGATGACTTCTTGGTTTCCTTCCAGATCTCCATCTAAGTTCCTTATGTTTTAACAGACATAATTTTGATTTCTCAGCAACATAGAGGACTTGGAGGAAATACTATCCAGTCAAAAGAGCTGTAAGGAGTTCTGGCTTGTTTTTCAAATACCAAGGAGTGAGTTAGACCAGAAAATGCTGCATTTCATTGAATACTATGATATCACCAAGTACATGCATGACTAGAAAAGGAGGTAGGCAAATCACACATGGCAAGAAGAAAAACTGAGCCCTTGCATTACTGTGGCAGCCTGTGAAAAGTGCCAGAGAAAAACGGCCTTCAGCACCTAAAGTGAATCCACTAGGGAAGATGAACAAAAGAATATGAATGAGAAACCTAGTGAGTAAAGGATGCATATTCTTCAGATTATAAATCACTGAGTTAGTCCATGCATGTGCATCTGTGTGTGTGTGTGTGTGTGTGTGTGTGTGTGTGTTGCCCAGACCCGGGATTTCATTAGCATAAGGAGATCACGCTGAGGAACTTTCTCTCCCGATGCAGATCAGCACCTTGGATAGTTGCCAGAGACCCTGAGGGGTGACATGACTTGCTCAGACTCATACAGTAAATACATGGGAGAGCTGAATCTAGTTCTTCCTGGCTCCAAGGCCAGCTCTGGATTCACTACACCGTGATGCATGCATATGAGAAAGTGTGTGTGTGTACGTGTACGTATAGACACCCATATACATATATATAAATACATGTGTATATACTTTTGTATGAATTGTATATGTGCATTTACATATGTATGGATATGCACACGTTTATGTGTTTATGTGGGTTGGTTGGTTGTCCTTCGCTCCTGAAGAGGACCAAAATGACATCACTATGCAAGAGTCAAGTTTCAACGTGTCTGGCTGTTGCTGATCAGACCAATACGAGCTCAGGTTGGGCACAAATAGTCCATGTGGATATTTGGGGTGGATTCTCTAAATTTGCACATATCACTGTTCTTTTGAGCTGCTTCAATTCTGCTCCGCTCATAGTGCACAGCACCTTCTCTGATGAACACACACCATGCTGGGCAATCCTGTGTCAGTGTCTCCCATGTCACACAATTCCAAATTTCTTCAGAGAGACCTTGAGAGTGTCTTTATGTCACTTCTCCACACCACTACGTGAGCACTTGCCTTGTATGAGTTCTCTATAAAAGAATCTTTTAGGCAAGTGTACATTTTGCATTTGAACAAAGTGGCCAGCCCATTGGAGTAGCGCTCTCTACAGTAGAGTTTGAATGCTTAGCAGTTTAGTTTGAGAAAGGATCTTGGTGTCCAGTACCTTATCCTGCCAGGTGATCTTCAGAATTTTCCTATTCAAATGGAAGCAATTCAGTTTCCTGGTATGGTGCTGATACACTGTCCAAGTTTCACAGACATACACCAAGGAGGTCAGCACAATGGCTCTGTAGACCTTCAGTTTGGTAGTCAGTCTATTACCTCTTCTTTCCCAAGCTGTCCTTTGGAGACTCCCAAACACTAAGCTAGCTTTGGCAACGCATGGGTCAACCTCATCATTGATGCATACATCCCTGGAAAGTATGATGCCAAGGTAAGTGAACTTATCCACAGTATTCTAAACTTGTCCATTTACTGTAACTAATGGTTCCAGGTATGGATGGTGTGATGCTGGATGGTGGAACACCTGCGTTTCCTTGATGTTAATTGTTAGGCCAAAATGAACTCAAGCAGCAGAGAATCAATCCATGCTTTGTTGTATCTCAGCTTCAAATGCCACATTGAGTGGACAATCAAAGAGCATGCACCAACACTCCCTCTGATGTCTTTATGCATAGTATGTGTATATACATACATATCAAATAGGCCCATTAGATGGACATTGAGCTAGGCCCAGAATTGAAATGTAGGACAGTAGGCTTTATTGTCTCTGGGATATTATACACTGTTTTCAATAGTAAGCCATTCCCTAACACAAAAGCTCACCTTTTTAACACCATTATGCACCTGGTAAAGTTCTTCTGGAGAATCAAAATGACGGACAACTCAGAGGACAAAAGGGCAGACACATAGTGGACATAAGTAAACTTCAGCAAGACCAATGATGAGGACTTGAGGTCAAGAAGTGGTGCAAAAGGTCTCATCAAGGAAATGTGTGATTGGCAAATGAAGGGAGCCTGCCATGGAGTGAGAGGAAAGGATATAAGGAGGGAGGTCCAAGTGCTGCCATGTTAGCCACAAAATGTCAAAAGACTCCAATCACTGGCCACTCAGCTAAAATCTATCATGCCAGGCTGTGCTCAGAGACTAGGAATAAGAAAAAAGAAAAAAATAAAAACAAAGTTCCTGCTCACAAACAGCTCAGAATCTAAGTGGTACAACAGCATGCAAAGATTTATGTACAAATGAGTGCATGCACAACCAACTGGGGGGAGTATCTTCCACACATTCATTCTCTACCTTCATTAGTCCAGTAGTCTACAATGCCCCTATACAATTTCCTTCTTATTTGGCTCACGACTTTACTTCTTTCAGGCACTTTTTGCCACAAGGCTGCCCAGTTTAAGGACAGACAAGAGGTTTCTAAGATCTCTCCCATTTCCCTGTCTCCTGACTCCCTTAGCTCAGCACCTGAGATTATAAAGCCTAAGGTGTTAAGACTGAGATTTCCCCCCCACCCCCCAATGCTTTTAGTATCTTCTCTTCCTTCAGATAACTTGTATCAAAACAAACACCCAGATAACTTGTATCCTGGTTCCTCAATGCCCTCACAATTCTCCTGCTTTCAGCACAGATATCCTCTATAAACTATGAACAATCTGGATGTCTTCTTATCTTTACTGTCACTTCCAATTATTTCACAAGCACGTCCAGGACTTCAATGTTAGGGTCAAGAGTGATGGTTTCATTGTCCTGGATGAAGAAAACTATTTGTTAAAATTATTTTTGGATATCTTTTTCATTTTTCTTCCGTTCATATTTCTTTTATTTTCATCCTTGAATGTCCTTGGAATGACTGCTAAGTTGGTTATCTTGCCACCCATTCCTTAAACTTGTTTTACTCAACACTGATTTATGAGACAATAATGCTTGCTGACAAACACATTTTAAAAAGACTCACAGGAAATAAGAAGGTTTGGATGGGCTGCAAGTGTGCTACAAGAAGGACAAATGTTGATGAGGTTTTGGATTGCTTAGAGTATGTGCAGAAGATGGGAAGAAGGCAGGTAATCAAGGATATGTATATGGAAGTGACGTGGTTAGTGCCAGGGGAAGCAAAGTTGGTGCAAAATGCCAAGGACAGCAAAGGGGCTTTTTTTAGAGCTAGGTTAGGGGCAAAAGAAAGATTAAAGAAGAGACAGATCAACTGTTCAAATGGAATAATGACAACAGACAGTAGAGAAAGGGAAGAACCACCTTACTCTTATTCTGCATCAGAATTCACCACCAAGGAAATGATTGGCAGACTAGGAAGGACTAAAAAAAAACAAACACCAATGAATTGGGAATTGAAAATTAAATGAAGGGATAGAGGGCACCTAGATGCCTTTGATGATGTCAAATCTCCAAGCCTAAGTGAATTCTATTGACTCCAAAGAAGAGATATAAGAAGATAACTCCCCTCATTATTTTGCAGAAATGAGGGCCCATGTGGGGTGGGATATTACAAATGACTTT